TGAGCAAGAGTAAGACCCTATCTCTTCTAAAAATTAAAAAAAACTATCTGGGCATTGTGATGGGCGCCTTTAGTCCAGCTACTCAGGAGGCTGAGGCAAGAGGATGACTTTAGCCCAAGAGTTGGAGGTTGCTGTGAGCAAGCTGTGATCACACGGCACTGTACCCAGGGCAACAGAGTGAGACTGTCTCAAAAAAATAAAATGAGATAAAATCTGAATTTTCTCAAGCTTCTAAATCTAACTACAGATTTACAGACAGCAGAGGGAGAGCAGCATATTCACACATTTTGATACAATCCCCAAAGGGGAGACTTCACAGGACGAATGGCCATTCCCTACAACACAGAAATCGCATGAAACACAAAATCGATATTGGAATCACATCAGATTAGCCTGTCTCACTGGATCAGCTCATCTCGACTGTTATTCAAACGAAATATTTTGTTACTACACTGGCATTTGTGAGAAATTTGTGAATTTAAACCCTGACTATATGTTAGCTATATTTAGTTAGAAAATTAAACTATCATTAATTTTCCAGGTGTTAGAATTGTCTTTATATTTCTCCTAAAGGATCCTATAAGAGATGTACTGAACTATTTACAGATGAAAATACAGGGCACATGGAATTTACTTTATAATAATAATGGGAGAGTGGAGGTGGCAGGATTAACTAAGGGTTGAGGGTGGGCACACAGGGGTTTATCATTTTATTCAGTTTACTTTTGTGTCTATTAAAATCTCCCTGTAATAAAAAAGTTTTCTTTTACAAAAGCAGATAGTGTTCCTATCTTTATGATGAACCTGGTAGACCTGAATTATAAATGTGCAAATAAAATAGGAATCAGGCTGGGGACAGAGACTTACACTTGTAATCCCAGCACTTTGGGAGGCCAAGATGGGAGGATTGCTTGAAGGCAGGAGTTCAAGTCTGGCCTGCACAAAATAGGAGACACCATCTCTACAAAAAAAAAAAAAAAGAAGAAGAAGAAGAAGAAGAAGAAAGAAAGAAAGAAAGAAAGAAAAGAAAAAGAAAAATTAGCCAGGCATGGTGGCATGTTCCTATAGTCCCTGCTACTCAGGAGACTGAGGCAGTGGGATCACTTGAGCCCAAGAGTTGAAGGCTACCGTGAGCTATGATGATGCCACTGCACTCTACCTGGGGCAACAGAGTGAAACCCAGTCCCTAAGAAGAAATAAAAGAAAATAGGAATCTTTGCCAGTGGGGACTATGAAAATAAAACGTAAAGGCCTAGTCAAGAGGAAATTCAACAGCAAAACAATTCTTTTTTTCCCAATTCTCAATTTCCCAACATATCAGAAAATTGAGGTAAGAAATTGGGAACACCATCTTCAGGCTAAACTTTCCGGTGCGAGAACTTTGTTCCTGTTCTCCATGCGGCCCCGTGGGGGTCAACAGGGCCTGCCAAGCCCTTAGCACACCGCCCGGGAGCATGAATGCTAAAGCACATCTTGTGGACTTTCACAGGAGCCACCTTGGCCACACAAGGGCCCCTTGCAGAGGGTTGCCTTGTCCTGCAAATGAATTCCCTTGACCCCTATTGCCACTCTACTGTACTGTGACTGTTGCTGTTCCCTGTGTGACTGGGGCACAGTGAGGTCACACAGCGAGAGAGTACAGACCCCACATCTCCCACCCAAAGCCCAGTCTCGCTACACTCTCACCCCTCCCAACCAGGTGCTGAAGACCTGTGCGGCCAGCCCTGGGGTCATCGAGGTTCTTTTCAACTCCTACCCTCAGCTCCGAGTGTCAGAGTCCTGGAAGCAGACGATTCCTGCAGAAGTCTTTCAGGTGAGGACCCTGCCTCCCCGGCCCCTTGGGGCTGAGATCTGGGGGTCATATTTCCGTGTTTCTCCTTTTCTGAGGCTCAGTTGTAACCCACCCGTTACTAGAGTCGGAGGGCTCTGGGGTGCAGGGAGCAGAAAGCTCCCCCATGACAGCCTGAGGAAAGTTGGTGCTCCCCAGTCTGCCTGCAAAGAAAAGTGGGTGTGGGAGGATCCATCTGACCGCAGGTTCTGCCTCCCTTTTGGCCGTGCTAGCCTGGTTCTGTTTGTTGGGGTCTTCTTCTGGTGGCTCCAGATGTGCCCGAGGCAGCAGCGGGCATTATATCTACACATGGCAAAGTTCACAGATGACTGTCCACTCAAAACGAGTCAGAACATGTTTTTTCCAGGAACCTCTAGAGAAATTTCCCAATTTTCCCTCCTGTTTCACTGACTTGAGTCACATGTGCGTTGCCCAGCACCAAAGCAGCACCACACCCTGACTCGAGTGGCGCAGGGTCCTGAGCCATCCCTGCAGAGGGAAGGGCTTGTCATAACTGGTTTAGTGACTTGGCCATCCCTGCAGCTGAGGACCTGTTGTGCAAAAGGGGTGGGGCAAATGGGATCTCAGAATGCTACATGTGTTATGTGAAGTCACCCCAAACAGAGTTCCCTCTGACTGGGCAGGAACCGAGCTGTAGAAGAGCTTACAGACCCTTTCGCTAGAGGGTATGGGCTGCAGAAGGGTGCTTCTCTCTCCAGTGTGGTTGTCTGGGAGGAGTTAAAAAGGATGGGTTGTCCAGCCAGTGGTCTGGCTGGGCAGGAAATGTGTGTGGGTTCCCTGTGCACAGGTTGACCACCCGCCTGCCTTCCTTTCCAGATGCACAAGCCTTTCTACCAGTCCTTCTTTGCCTTGGCCCACACCCCACGCTGCCTGCAGCATCTTTGCCGCTGTGTCCTTCGCAAATTGTTTGGTAAGAAGTGCTTTGACCTCATACCCCTGTTACCCTTGCCAAAGTCTCTGCAAAATTATCTGCTTTTGGAACCAGAAGGTGCCTTGCACTGAAAATCAACATGACAGCCAAGACTCTTGTTCCCATCTCTGCCCATCGTGGAGGCTGGGTGGTGAGGAGCACGCCCCAGGCACGGAAGGACATGGTGGAATCTCCCCCATTTCCCCTCACTCTCCCGTGCTTCTCCCGTGGGACTCGCAGAAGTGCCAACCTCACTGAACTTCAGGTACCCCTGAAGGTGAATTGGTAATAAAATCCTTCATTGCCTCCCAGGCTTGCTGGTGAGGGTCACGTGAAACCATGACTGCAGGAATACTTGGTGCCTTTTGACAAAAGCTAAAAAACTAAAAGGCATAGCAAGTCCTCACTGTCACTGTTGATAGGTTCTTTGAAACTGAGGCTCTAGGCTCAGTGCCTGTGGCTCAAGCGGCTAAGGTGCCAGCCACATACACCTAAGGTGGCGGGTTTGAATCCCCAGCCCGGGCCCGCCAAACAACAATGATGGCTGCAACTAAAAAATGGCCAGGCGTTGTGGCGGGCGCCTGTAGTCCCAGCTACTTGGGAGGCTGAGGCAGGAGACTCGCTTGAGCCCAGGAGTTGGAGGTTGCTGTGAGCGTGATGCCATGGCACTCTACCCAGGGGGGATAGCTTTAGGGTCCGTTTTCAAAAAAAAAAAAAAAAAGAAACTGAGGCTTTAAGTAAAACAAGATGTAAGGAAACCAGTTTACCAAAGGCTAATTGATACAAACTCCTGTTAAGTTCCTGCAGCATATTCCTGGTCACAAAACATCTCCCCAGACTTATAAGTAGAGACTCAAACACTTCTAATATTAAACGTGGACTTAAATATGAGCTATGCATACATCAAAGGAAAAGTAATAAGTGGTAAGACTATTTGCCCCATTCACAGTGAGTTGGTAAGTGACAGTGCTCAAGGTGGGACAGATGGAGGAGTGAACACTGGCAGAGTGAAGCTTGCCAGGAGCACCTCCTAGCACCACGCAGCTCAGAATTGCTCACCAATAAGGCACTTTCTTACTGTGTCATTTACTGTCCTGCATTCAGATGATTGTCATATACTTAAGGGATTTTTATTTCACAATAATTTGAATTATTATTAATAATAATAATTATATTCATTTGTTTTCCAACCCCTTTATCCCACTTCAGAGTTTGGAGTGACCAGAACCTATCCCAGCAGGTCAGGAGATAAAATGGGGACCCACCCAGGACAGGACACTGTACTGTCGAGGGGCACACTCATACCCACACTCAGACACGTAGACACCACAGCTCACATTTAGGGTGTAGGAGGGAGGGGCCGGAGAGACAGTGTCCCCGGTCAGAAATCAATTTTGTTGGTACAACCATTTTTAGAGACCTTAACAACTCAGTGTCCTTGAGGCTCCCAACATGGCTCTACTATTACCAGCTTTTTAAAATTTCTGCAGAAACATTTTCAGGAACGCAGATCCACTTGTCTGGCTGAGGAATGGATTTTATTTCTCATCAACATTATACAAAATAACGTTGAAAGGAATGATGTCATCTGAGGTGCTGCTGTGTATGCATTTGTAAAAGGTCTGTCTCCCACCCCAGTGTGTCAGCAGTGGAGGTGCCACGCCCAACCTCCAGGCCCTCTGCCCCACTGGGAGGCCTCTCCTCCTGGGAACCTGCACACCCCAGAGCGTGACCCACCTGCATGTGAAGAGAGGATGCCTGGTCCACCACACATGCACCTGCCCAGGGCCCCGTTGTGCTTCTGCACACAGTACAGTCTAGAGCTCCCCAGGAGGACACGGCCAGCAGGCAAGCTGGACATTCCATGCTATATGAGTCTTGACACCCTCACCAGCAAGCAGATGGTCTGCACTGTAAGAACTACAGTAACTTGCCTTCTGTGCCTCTGTTCTGATGCCTTGACTTCTAGGGCCCTGCTGAGCTGGAAGGACCACCCCTCCCCCAGCTAGCCAATTCTTAGAGTAGTCATCAACTGGGCATGCAGCAGGCTTTGCACGGTGAACCAACCAATCCAGGGCCTGCGCCCCAAACACCTCATTCATCTGTTGTCACTCCAGACCCCTGTGCACCCCTGAGCCAGGTGCTAGACAACTGGGGACAGCCCTTGCCCCAGAGCCTGCCACAGTTATTCACACTGGCCAACCCTAAAGCCTTATCCTGCCTTGCTCCTCCCTACCCCCACTTCCGGGTCAACCCTAGTGTTTCCCCTCATGGCCCCCTGGACATGGCACACCCCCTCCTCTCAATGAGAGAGAAACTTTCTTCAGTGGCAGTCTCTCCTGATCTGTTGGGCCCACTGGATTCTCTATTAATATGCTGTGTGGCGGCATCTCTGTGGTCATCCTCTGAGATTAAGCAGTGGCTCCGTCCCTTTTTCTAGTTCCAGGTGCTGCCAGGATGAAGCTCAGAGCAGGCCAGGCACACCTCCCCTTGGTGCAAGCTAGAAGGGGAGGTCACACTCCAGCCAACAACTGCCTAAGGCAGAATGCCGTGCACACCGTGAGTGAAGCCCCCTGTAGAAGTGAAAGGGTGCCCATGGGAGGCCCACCCAGTGACAGTGAATGTCAGGACACAGGCTGCCCTGGATGGGGGAGGCTCAGATTTCAACACAGTGGATCTGCCAAAGGAGTGATATGACACCATCCCCCAACTTCAGCTGAGCCATCCACACATGTCCTCAGAGATGGACAATTGACCTGTCCCACAAAAGGGCCATGACAACTCACACCCTACCCAGCCACATGATTCTCCCCAAACCCTCCTAGTTGGACTTTCAGGGGCCACCCCTGTATCCAGAGGAAAGGGGCTCAGGAAAGTGCAAGGCACAGGGGAGGGACAGTGATTTGTCTTCCTGGAGGGGAGGGTCCCCACACTTTGGCAGCTGGAAGGAGGCAGGGCTAGAGAGAGCAGGGGACAGCTCAGGGGGCCTTGGGTTCCAGACCAAGGATTCTGAACTCCACTGGACAGACTAAGATGAGTCACAGAGCAGGTAGCAGGCATGGTCACAGTGGGACTCAGGAAGGTCGCTTTGTCCTGGAAGGGAATGTAACACACTGCAAGGTGGATAGCAGCCCCAGGTTATGCCCTAGGGATGGGTCAGGGGACAGAGCTCAAAGCTCCCAGCTCAGAAACGCAATTCAATAATTGATTCTTCTGTTATTAGGATTGCTTTATTAGTAGTAAAAGAAAACAGCCCACTATTAAGCTAGAGGCTGTAGAAGAGGGGAAATAGCAGTGTTACTTAGAGAATAACAGGGTAGGAATGGTGAGTGGTGTAGCCACCGCAGACCACCTGAAGCCTGGCCCTCACTGCATTCTGAGAGCACAGAGGTGTCTTCTGTACCCCACCCTCCTGTCAGCCCCCTCCATCCCACCTCATTCCACTATAGTAAAGAGTTTGCTTTGATTTCTAAAATGCATATATTTTAAATATGTTTTAAAGAGTCATGGAAGAAACCAGAGCTCTGACATATTGGCATTATACTCCTAAAAGTCTAATGAATAGTAACCAATTATAATATTAGGTTTCCAATACATATTTTTCTCAAATTATAGCTTAAAGATAGCAACATGATTCCCACAATAAGCCCCTAATCTCCCCCATAGTTGCCTGAAATCTCACCACTAGGGAGGAATTCTTTTCCTTATCTTCATCCCAAAGAATTTCCTTTTAAAATTCAGATGCTGGCTCAGCACCCATAGCTCAGCGGTGAGGGCAGCGGCCACATGCACCAGAGCTGGTGGGTTCTAACCCAGCCCGGGCCTGCCAAACAACAATGGTAACAATAACAAAGAAATAGCCAGGCACTGTGCTGGGCACCTGTAGTCCCAGCTACTTGGGAGGCTGAGGCAAGGGAATCGCTTAAGCCCAAGAGTTTGGGGTTGCTGTGAGCTATGACACCACAGCACTCTACCAAGGGCAACATAATGAGACTCTGTCTCAAAAAAAAAAAAAAAAAATTCAGATGTTCCTGGGAAGAACTAATCCATGAAGTTCCTCAGAGAGAAACCAGTCACTTATTTATTTTTTATTTTTAATTGTGGTAAAAAATTTTTTACCTTCCTAGTTTTAAATACACAGTTCAGCAGTGTTAACTCCATTCACTTTGTTGTACATCTCCAGAGCTTGTTCATCTGGACAAAAATTCCACATCTCACCTCCCTGAAGCCTCGACAACCACCCTCATTCCCCTCCCCGAAGCGTATGTCCAAACGGTCGTACCCTTGCCCACCAACCTGCCAATTTTGACGACTACCTCATGCATGTGGAATCATACAATATTTTCTTTTGCAACTGGCTCCCTTCGTGTTGTGGTGTACAACAGAATTTCCTTCTTTTAAAAGGCTGAATATTGTATATTCATATCATGTGTTCTTGACACACTCATCTGCAGGGGACACCAGGCTGCTTCCACCTGCTGGCTGCTGTGACTAGCCCTGCAGTAAACACAGGAGTACAGATAGCTCTTCAACATACTGATATCCTTTCACTGGGATAGACACCCAGAAATGGGATTGCCGGATCATATTGCAGTTCTAGTTTTTTATTTTTTGAGGAAAGTCTATACCCTTTTCCACACTGGCTACGGCATTTTACATTTCCACCAGCAACATACAAGAATTCCAGTTTCTCCACATCAACATTTGTTAATGGTTTCTGGATTTTTTCTTCCTTTCTTTTTTTTTTTAGTTATTTGGGGGGAGCTTTTTTTTAACATTGTTCATTCATTTATCTTTTTGAAAAGTCTGCTGGGGGTGGAGCAGTGACTGGGGAGCCATCATTAACAAGACAGACTTGATGATTACCCTCCTCACGGAGCTCACAGCCAAATGAAAAGGAGACTCTTCCCAAGCTGCTGGAGAAGGTGAGAAGGAAGGGCTTCCACTCCTGGCCACTTCCTCTCTGACCGCATCTCTGTGTTGCAGGAAGGCTGCCGTGTTCCCAGGGCAGGTGGCAGTTTGCACGCTGTGAGGCACCCCTGGCCACTGCTGTCATCACAGTGTCCTACAGGCAATCACACGACTTCTATCATGAATGTTGCTTTCTTCCACCCTGCTGAGTCACCATCCCATGAAATACAGTACCCCACCTCCAGCCCTGCACTCTAGGTCAACAGGGCCCATGTGCAATTGTCATTCAGTAAACTGAAACTCCTAAAATATCAAGTTTGCCCCCAACTTCTCAGGAAGATGAGGTCAGAGCTGCAAGAGAATGAGTAAGAAACAAGTTGCCATTAGAAATCAGTTCTGAGTCACCTGGGGTCTGGTGGCTGTTGAGATGTGCTGAATACCTTGGTGGAATTATAGCTATGACTATAGGACAAAAATGACTAGTGTGGTTGTCTGGGCCTATCCTAATTGTCAGATGAGATGGAATTCATTCACAGTTTTGCAGAATGTATTGCTAGCAGTTTGCTTTGTTAACGCAAAAAATAACTGCCAAAAAATTTGTTGTTTCAGTGACTCTGTCTAGCTGTGCTCCGTGCTACAAGTGTTAGGGATTTCTGGCACAACCCCACATGGATAAGAAAGAACGAGACAGGGGAGGAGGAGGAGAGGAAGGAGAGGCAGGAAGACAAAGCTAAGGGAGGGGAGCAGAAAAGCAGGGCGAGGAGGGAGGGTGTGAGTTAGTGGAGATGAACGTCTGAGAAGGAATTCTACTTTGAGACTAGAATTATCCCACTGTACTACTTTTTCCAGTAAACAAAATATATCCTGGTTCTTCTTTTCAATTAAAGGGTCTAAAAATGCTTTCCTTTCATATACGGTTCACATTGCACATCATTGTTCTCATTGAGTATATCGCATAAACTCAACTCTGTAAGGCCTAAACTGTCTTTAATTTCAAATTTAGTTTTTAATGGTGTATTCATGTGGCTCAAAGTTCAGAAGATAACAAAATAGTAAATTATGCTCTGACCTTCTGTTTCTTTTTAAAAAGCAGAATATTTTTCTGCCAACGTTTACTTAATATCTTTGATTATTACTTGTCATCTGACCAACAGAGAAGTCAAAAATATGCAAGTGGGATTCTCCTGGGAAGGCTGGCCCCGTCCCCACTGGCTGTCCCTGGGACGGATGAAATGTTAGTAGCTAGACTGCCAGACCCAATCCACAGCCCAGGGGCAATTACGGACCAGGCACTGTGTGCTGTGTTATTTTTAAAATTCTGAACCCGGCACTGAACCTGTCTTTTTAGTGTTTTTATATTAACTTGAATTTTAAATTACTTGATAATTATTGATTCTGCATGGCCAGAAGAAAATCAAAGCCCCTGACACTTTTAAGTCTAAGGAGCATTTGCTAATCCCGGTAACTGTTTATAATTGTCAATTTCCAATTTCTGAAATAACCTTTTAGACACACACTGATGGGGCAGGCTGTTGAACTTTTGCAAAGAGCACTTAACCTTCTACAGAAATGCTGTAAAATACAGGCTTGGAGAATGAGCCGGTTCCACTCTGGTG